TCAGATGAGACTTTGTAATCAGATGTAGCCTATGTGTTTCTGTGATTTTATACTGAATGTAAAGTAATAAGAAATACCTGTGTGTGTGTGTGTGTGTGTGTGTGTGTGTGTGTGTGTGTGTGTGTGTGTGTGTGTGTGTGTGTGTGTGTGTGTGTGTGTGTGTGTGTGTGTGTGTGTGTGTGTGTGTGTGTGTGTGTGTCCTTCTGCAACCTCCCAAACTCTCCATCTGCGGCTGTCACCAGGTCAAGATACACCTCAGCACAAAGGCTCCACCACAGCCATCACCTTCAACCCAGCCAGCAAGGAGGTCTCGTGGAGGTCTCGTATAGCACTTGTACCCCCCACCTACACAGCAGCCCATGCACCATCACCCCCACCTACACAGCAGCCAGACCCACTGTCTTGGAAGACAGACAAAGACCTTGACACTGTCTTGACATTTATAATGAATAGTTGGTTGAAAGTTCTGATGTTCAATATTGTAAATAGTGAGATTTTCCAGTTTCTTACATTTATATAAATAGTTGGTTGAAAAAAACATATTTATAATAAATTGTTGGTTGAAAAAAAAGGTTGAATGCTCAATTTGTATTTGTACACATCACATGAACCTTGGTATGTAATATGAAGTCATTATTCAGTCCTGATGTATCTCAGTCCCTGCTGTGGTGAACGTAGAGTGATAAACACCTATTTTACTCAAAATTTGAATTTAATGTTTTTCATTTTAGACATGAATAACACATTTATATACAGTGTAATTCAAATATTTCACTGCTTTTGTGATCCTAGGACTTTGGTAACCAAATCTAAAACACCAAAACAATTCGATCACATGAGTAAATTTGTGTTTTCACAAGAGTTTTGAATATTTTCCAAAAATCGGATTTCACATTTTAAGCTTTTGAGCTACTTATCTCATCAAACAGTGCTCTAAGGTGAGCAATATGCATATATAGCAAGACCAGAGATTGTCCTGAACATTTTGATATTTAACACATGGGGTGCCATGTTAGAAGAAATACATTTAAAAGGTGATTTAAGAAAACATCTAAAAATCGAGAAAATACCCTTAGACTCCAGAGGGTTAAGAATGGTAAAACTGCACTCCCTGGGTTGTCATTCCTAAATTATGAATGACAGCTTGTGGAAAGTTTGCTAGACTACTGGTTGCATGGCAACTAGGCATCTCGCGAGTTGCGGTAATTGGTTAGTACAATAAAGAAAGGATTTGTTTTGGAATTATTTTGTGTTCCGTTTTTTCTTGGGCGGCCCTCAATCCAATATTGGGTAAATTGGCCCTCACTCATCAAAACTTTGAGAACCCCTGCTTTAAACTGTGTTTATTTGCAGGACGGTGAAAGAGTGCATCCAGGTGACCAGATAGCACACGTTGATATCCAAGAAGAACCTGAAAGAAGGACAGGCATTAATGGGAACCATCACATCACTCTGCTGAAGCTACCTGAGCCTATGAAGGGTCTTGAAACTTTAACACATCCTGACTGTAACAAATGTACGGAAGAGGATTAGGGCCACATACATTTTTTTTTGTGAGGATTTGAAAAAAAAATGTTTTTTTTTTTGTTCTGAGAAAAAAGTCAGAATTCTGACTTTAATCTCAGAACAAAAAAAATGTATGTGGCCCTAATCCTCTTCCGTACAAACGTGCCGTACTGAGAGGTTTTTTCTTCAATAAGACTGAAAGTTAAACTCCTCAGGAACTCAAACTGAAATCTTTTTATGAATCTTAAGTTTTGTATTTCAGAGATGATACAGTTCAGGACTTGGAGCCACAGCGGCAAACACAGATGGTGGAACAGTTCAGATGACTTGTTTATTTTATATTAAAACTGTACACACTGAGTTCTTTATTAAAGTTTTGACTTTGGTAACTTTTTAGAAAACGTTGTATTATCATATTTTACCAAACACATTCATAAAACATAAAGTATTTACAACACACGTAAGAAAGAAAAATACAAAGATAAATGAATAAAAAGAGGGAGAAACATTAGAGGAGAGGATATATGGTGTTGTCTTATCACTTCCAGTGGTTCTGTTGTTGGGGATTTGTTGAAAGATTGAACCAAAGATTGATTGATCATTTTGTTCTGTCTTTCCTGTGTAGTAAAATAGCTACAGTTATTGCTTTGAACAGCTGTTTTCACCAGGCTGTCAGGAGGCTGAACCCTCCCCCCTCTCCCATCTCTCCCCCCCTCTCCCATCTCTCCCCCCTCCCCATTGGACCTGGACTTTCACACCCCACACACACATCCATCACCAGACACTTTCTACGCTGCATTGGACAGGATGTTGCACTAATGTAATTTTTACTGCAATATATTCATCATTCTAGTGACTGTTATTTTGTACATATTGACTGTATGCCCCTTAATGTGTATATATATATATATAACCGACAGGAGTGAAACAATTTTTTTGGAAACAAAGTAGGCTACTTTGCAAATATAATTCCTGTTTATTATTATTATCAACAGTTACTTTTGTATACAGTGAGGTAAATGGTAAATGTGCATGTATCTCGTTCAGTATGCGTTTACAGGCGGATACGTCGCATTTCCTGCCAAATACTAGCCTCAAAAAGATTAAAATATAATGAATGCAAATAAACTACTTCTAATAATAATAATCATAATCAATTCAATAATATAAATACTATATTATTATAATATAGTCAAGACAAAACATGCTTATGACATGCTCAAAAACTGATACTTCTTAAATCTGTATTCAAACGTAGTTCCCTCTGTCAGCAATGTCTCAACAACTACACACACATTTCTATCAGTACTTCTCTGTGTTGTGGTTGACATGATGATGACTGTTAGGAGTTAAGGGGAGAGGCTGAGCGTCACCATGATGATGACTGTTAGGAGTTAAGGGGAGAGGCTGAGCGTCACCATGATGATGACTGTTAGGAGTTAAGGGGAGAGGCTGAGCGTCACCATGATGATGACTGTTAGGAGTTAAGGGGAGAGGCTGAGCATCACCATGATGATGACTGTTAGGAGTTAAGGGGAGAGGCTGAGCGTCACCATGATGATGACTGTTAGGAGTTAAGGGGAGAGGCTGAGCGTCACCATGATGATGACTGTTAGGAGTTAAGGGGAGAGGCTGAGCGTCACCATGATGATGACTGTTAGGAGTTAAGGGGAGAGGCTGAGCGTCACCATGATGATGACTGCTAGGAGTTAAGGGGAGAGGCTGAGCGTCACCATGATGATGACTGTTAGGAGTTAAGGGGAGAGGCTGAGCGTCACCATGATGATGACTGTTAGGAGTTAAGGGGAGAGGCTGAGCGTCACCATGATGATGACTGTTAGGAGTTAAGGGGAGAGACTGAGGGTCACCATGATGATGACTGTTAGGAGTTAAGGGGAGAGGCTGAGCATCACCATGATGATGACTGTTAGGAGTTAAGGGGAGAGGCTGAGCGTCACCATGATGATGACTGTTAGGAGTTAAGGGGAGAGGCTGAGCATCACCATGATGATGACTGTTAGGAGTTAAGGGGAGAGGCTGAGCGTCACCATGATGATGACTGTTAGGAGTTAAGGGGAGAGGCTGAGCGTCACCATGATGATGACTGTTAGGAGTTAAGGGGAGAGGCTGAGCGTCACCATGATGATGACTGTTAGGAGTTAAGGGGAGAGGCTGAGCGTCACCATGATGATGACTGTTAGGAGTTAAGGGGAGAGACTGAGGGTCACCATGATGATGACTGTTAGGAGTTAAGGGGAGAGGCTGAGCGTCACCATGATGATGACTGTTAGGAGTTAAGGGGAGAGGCTGAGCGTCACCATGATGATGACTGTTAGGAGTTAAGGGGAGAGGCTGAGCATCACCATGATGATGACTGTTAGGAGTTAAGGGCAGAGGCTGAGCGTCACCATGATGATGACTGTTAGGAGTTAAGGGGAGAGGCTGAGCGTCACCATGATGATGACTGTTAGGAGTTAAGGGGAGAGGCTGAGCGTCACCATGATGATGACTGTTAGGAGTTAAGGGGAGAGGCTGAGCGTCACCATGATGATGACTGTTAGGAGTTAAGGGGAGAGGCTGAGCGTCACCATGATGATGACTGTTAGGAGTTAAGGGGAGAGGCTGAGCGTCACCATGATGATGACTGTTAGGAGTTAAGGGGAGAGGCTGAGCGTCACCATGATGATGACTGTTAGGAGTTAAGGGGAGAGGCTGAGCGTCACCATGAAATGTGCAAATTAAAATAAAAAATGAATAAAAGGGGAAAAAATGCTCCATGTTTTTTAGGCTGTAAACTTTAACTGTTATGTAAGCCAAGTAGACAGACAGTGTATCACTCTTCCTCCTGTACATTAGCAGATCAAAGGCATCACATACTTGAATGAATGGTAAATAAAGAATGCGCTGAGAGCTGCGCACAAGCCGAGCTCATAAGCCGAGGCCCCCTGTGCAATGTGAGGCCCCATGCAGCCTGCATGATCGGCCTGTCGGGAGGGACGGCCCTGTGTGTGTTTTTTTTGTTATGCTAGTATGTTAGTACATTTATTTAAGTAAGATTTTAAAACTAGAACATCTAGCTGGGGTTTTGCCACTTCTACCTAAGTGAAATATTATTCTATACGTGATTTAGCCAAATAAATAATTTAGCGTTTGAAGTTCTTTAAAGGTTGATTATCACCTAAACTTTTTTGTTCTCCTTTACCTCGTTTTAACTACTTTTGAACCAGATGCTAATATAACATCCTTTACAGTGTGACTAACAAAGATGCTCCATGATCTTATGACTGAAAAGGACACTCTTTTCATCTCAGTGACGGTGTGTATGTAGGTATAATGTGCAGAGGTAATAATGGCATGGAAACATCCAAAAGCAGTTATGAAACCTTAAAAATGTAAGCAAATTGTCAGTTTAATCATGCTCCACTCCATGTGTCCAATCATCTTGTATACAGCATCAGCTGAATGACTCGAATGTAAGAAGTACTTTCCACATGTTAGTTTTCCATAACATCTTTATTTAAAAGGATTTACAACACAAACTGGCACCACTTAATTTAAATGGCATCTTTTTTTTCATCCTTGCACAACGTACAAACAAACAGTGTCCCTTAAAAAAAAAAAAATTGGTAAACTCTAATATTCTGGCAGTTCAGGTTGTTTGTGATCTTTGATTAAGTGGCTTTTCAGGCTGTCGGAGAAAACCATTATTATACAGACATGGAAGGAAAAAGCCCTCAAACACACTTCTTCTTAATATCAACTGGGAACGATCGAACAACTGGATAACATATGCAGAAAACTCTGTTAAACTCTAGAGTGATGGTTAAAGACAATCAGATGATGTGTTCAGACCAGCTTCTGTTCACCTTCATCCGGTTGATTCACTTCTGCGACTCAACACTGAATCCTTGAACATATCTGCAAGTTATTGATTAAATGCAGACCGACAAAGACGTTAATATTGGACTTCCTGTGTCTGACACATGTTTGGATTTGACCCTTGAAGCTTTGAAAGATGTCGGATTCTAATGACCTTTACGTCCCATCACCTGTTAGTGATTTAAAAATATTCTTTTTTTTACATTTTAAGTGTGGAACAACACGGCTGAATGAATAATTGTTGTCCAATCAGATCGTGTGTTTTAGGAAGTCAGACTGCGATTGAAACGGAAGAAAAATGGTGCTCTTGTGTTCAGATGTTTCCAAGCAAACTAAGCAGGGGAATTCAAAAGGACTTCGGCAAACGTTAACTGCGACAAAGCCAGTTTGACATGTGACGATACTTTGGGGAAAAACAAGGGGTTTCTTTCTGATCTGGATCTAGAAAAGCTGCGACATTAGCTGAAGGAAGGAAGGTCTGACTGATAAAATGACTTTTCTATGGCAGGATTAATCATAGACAATGTGAGGTTAAAATTGACGTCAATGGTTTTCTGGATGTGTCTTGGGTTGTTAGTCTTAAATAAGGTGACAAACTGAAGAGATGTTTGCTCTACGCCTTACAATTTGTCAGTAAATACCCCACTAGTGAGACGACTCCACGTCATCACGCCCAACATTAGCCGCCTTTAGCTTAGCGTGGTGACGTGAAGTCGTGTGACCGTGCTGTAGTTCCTCGATAGCTCAATGTAAGCTTTTTAATTCCAAACACCTGGATAGGACAATAACTTTCTTAGTGAACAAACCCGGCACTGTGACACAAGGAAGGCATTATTTCAGATCTACAATAGTTAATTATCATCTAGCTGTTTATTCTACGGTTGGCATTAATTCCCTTTCACTGCTACTCTCAGAGACACGGAGCATTGTAAGAAAAACAATTAGAAATGAAGCTTTTCAACTACTTCCTCTTCCTGTGACGGTAAAATGGATTAATGAACGTCACGTGGAGGTGAACACAAGAGGAGATGAGCAACAGAGGGGGAAAACACATTTGATTGTGGAGGATGGAGAACATTTAGGGAGGGAAAGTGACTGCTCTTCCTCTGATGTACTCAGATAACGCTATGAAACAACTGGTGAACTACAAACACCCCCAAAACTCCAGTATTCAAATAGAAAAAGGTAATATAATGCATTTAAATTGCAAGAAACTGCAATAAAACTAAATGAAAATCATCTTCAGACACCAATAAAGCTTTAAATTGTCTTAACGTGGAAGGAAATTCACTCATGATGAGTTATTATTTTATATAAGGGAAACGTTTCCATCCAGAGGCCGTGACGTAACTCCCCCCCCCCAGAGTAAAGATGGAGATCAGGCGGTTCCTGCTGCGCCTGCTGGGACCGCTGTGGGGACCGCTGCAGCGTTTATTGCTTTCCCTCGATGTCTTTGACCACCTCTTCGACGACCGCCACCTCCAGACTTCATCTGAAGGAGAAACACAGGAGACCACCGTGAGACACAGAAATACACTAAACAGTAGGGGTGGGGGAAATAATCGATACTATGCGTGGCGATATTGTATCGACACACGGACGCCAAGTATCGATATTTTATTATATAAACTATTCATATTGCAAATCCAAATTAGTTTGGCAAAGAGACCATCAAATTCTGAGCGAGCGAAGAAAATAACTCATCACCTACTTCATGTGCAAAGACCTGCGTCCAATCAGCGCTGTGGAAAACGAAGGCTTTTGTCACATGCTAAAGACACCGGAACCCAATATATCATGCAATCATATACATCAATATATATCGCATCCCAATACTTAGCATATCGTAGAATGGCAATACTATCATATTGTGGCTTAAGTATCACGATAGTATCGTATGCATCGCGATAGTATCATATTGTGGCTTAAGTATCGCCATAGTATCGTATTGCGGCTTAAGTATCGCGATAGTATCGTATAGTGGTGTACCACAAGGTTCAGTTTTAGGTCCGCTATTATTCTCTATCTATATTAATAGTTTAGGTGAAAATGTCGAAGGAGCAACCTTACATTTTTATGCGGACGATACCGTTATGTACTGTGCAGGTCCCTCGATTAACGAGGCTGTTGTTAAATTACAGGCTGTTTTTAACATTATTCAGGCTCAGCTCTCTGAGCTTAAGCTTCTTTTAAATATGGATAAAACCAAGGTAATGCTCTTTCTAAAGCTAAAGCTAAAAATAAACCAGAGACTGCTTTGGATATTGTAACTACGCAAGGAATAAAACTCAAAGTGGTTACCTGTTACAAATACTTGGGTATCTGGCTTGATGATTGTCTCACTTTTAAACTTCATGTCAATAACCTGCTTAAAAAGCTGAGGGTTAGGCTAGGTTTCTTTTACAGAAATAAGTCCTGTTTCTCGCTTGAGGCCAGGAAAAGGCTCTGTGACCTTTTTACCTGTGCTGGACTATGGTGATTTGTTATATATGAATGCACCTGCCAATTACCTGAGCAAGTTAGATGCTGCGTATCACAGTGCACTGAGATTTTTGACAAATTGTAAAGCACTTACGCATCACTGTACCCTGTATACCAAGGCGGTTATGCCATCACTTACTGTACGGAGGCTCAGTCACTGGTACTTTTTCATTTACAAAGCCATGTTGGATAAACTACCATCTTATATCTGCTCCCTGATCTCTCTGCGAATTGAAAGTACTTATTGCCTGAGATCGCATGCTGTGGTTTTATTAAATGTGCCAAGTGCTAGGACTGTCTTAGGGAAGAAAGCTTTTAGATGTGCAGCTCCACTAACATGGAACAGTCTGCAAAAAGAATGGAAAATTACCAAGCTAGTACCACTACATGTTTTTAAAGCTCGGTTGGATGCTACAAAATCAGATGCTGTTGGTACCTGTACTTGTGGTTAAATATGTAAATTGTAATCCCTGTACATTTTGCTGTATGATGTCCTTTTGTTGTTCTGTTGTTTATGTTTTTATGTCTTCTTGTGGAACCTACTGCTGCAGGTCTCCCTTGAAAAAGAGATCATTGATCTCAATGGGATTTTACCTGGATAAATAAAGGTTTTGAATAGTGGCTTAAGTATCGCGATAGCATTGTATAGTGGCTTAAGTATCGCGATAGTATCGTATAGTGGCTTAAGTATTGCGATAGTATCGTATAGTGGCTTAAGTATTGCGATAGTATCGTATAGTGGCTTAAGTATCGCGATAGTATCGTATAGTGGCTTACGTATTGCGATAGTATCGTATAGTGGCTTAAGTATTGCGATAGTATCGTATAGTGGCTTAAGTATTGCGATAGCATCGTATAGTGGCTTAAGTATCGCGATAGTATCGTATAGTGGCTTACGTATTGCGATAGTATCGTATAGTGGCTTAAGTATTGCGATAGTATCGTATAGTGGCTTAAGTATTGCGATAGCATTGTATAGTGGCTTAAGTATCGCAATGCTATCATATCGTGGCTTAAGTATCGCAATACTATCGTATCGTGGTTTAAGTATTGCGATAGTATCATATTGTGGCTTAAGTATCGCAATAATATCATCGTGGCTTAAGTATCGCAATAATATCATATCGTGGCTTAAGTATCGCGATAGTATCGTATAGTGGCTTAAGTATTGCGATAGTATCGTATAGTGGCTTAAGTATTGCGATAGTATCGTATAGTGGCTTAAGTATTGCGATAGTATCGTATAGTGGCTTACGTATTGCGATAGTATCGTATAGTGGCTTAAGTATTGCGATAGTATCGTATAGTGGCTTAAGTATTGCGATAGCATTGTATAGTGGCTTAAGTATCGCAATGCTATCATATCGTGGCTTAAGTATCGCAATACTATCGTATCGTGGTTTAAGTATTGCGATAGTATCATATTGTGGCTTAAGTATCGCAATACTATCATCGTGGCTTAAGTATCGTAATGCTATCGTATCGTGGCTTAAGTATCGCAATGCTATCATATTGTGGCTTAAGTATTGCAATGCTATCATATCGTGGCTTAAGTATCGCAATACTATCATCGTGGCTTAAGTATCGCAATGCTATCATATCGTGGCTTAAGTATCGCAATACTATCATCGTGGCTTAAGTATCGCAATGCTATCGTATCGTGGGGAGCCTGGTGATTCCCACCCATAATAAACTGGATGCTCGAACAACAGATCAGATGTAAAGAGAAACAGGAATGCATTTCTTAGAAGTGCTTTAGGAATCAAAAGGTAGGAGGTTTTGTTACTGTTCGTCCTAGGGGGGAGGAATATAATGAAGAAGTTGATTCTCAACGGTTCAGGACATTTTTTAGTGGAGGTGGTACGCCCTTTTTAATGTCCTCACTTATTAAATATACATGTTTCTTTGAATGTAGGAGATAGCGATAACTTTAACACCCCACACACAGACACTCAAATCCAGCACCAGACACTTTTGTACGCTGCTATGGACAGTCTTGCACTAATGTACATTTTCAAAGATATTGAAGTGACTGTTATTTTGTATATATTGATTGTAGTGCTTATACGTATGTCTTAATTTGTGCATATGTATAAATGTGTCTGTTGATTGTGTATATACATATTTTTATATATCTTTGTTATTGTATTTGGGATTGTGGGAAACGGTATTTCGATCTCTGTCTGTACACACAAACTGAAAGATTCACAATAAAGTTGACTTTGGGAGGCCACCGTGAGACACAGGGGCAGAAATACACTAAACTGGATGCTCCAACAACAGAACAGAAGTAAGGAGAAACAGGAATGCAGTTCTTATAGGTGCTTTGGGATTAAAAGGGAAGAGATGTGGTTACTGTTCGTCCTAGGGGGGAGGAATATAATGAAGAGGGTCTTTCACAACAGTTCAGGAATTTATTTTTAGTGGTAAGCCCTTTTAAATGTCCTCACTTATATACATGTTTCATTTTATGTGGGATGTAGAGCCTTCACTAATAGAGTGGTGCAGCAATTAATCGATCTAATATCACTACTGGTTTCTGTTGGGGAATCATTTGCCCTAGTGTCCTCCTTCGCCCTCTGACGGAGCTGACCAACCTTGAGCAGCCGTTATCTCCCTTAAGGAGGGGCTGCCCTAGCATATTGTTGATGTTGCCAGTTTGTGAGCGGGCAACTCTCGGTCAGAGATTGTTATTGTTGTGGGACACCTGGAACCAGGGCCGGCCCTTGGCATAGGCATTATATGTGAATGCTAAGGGCGCATCAACCCATCGGGGGCGCCAACAATTTACATTTTTAAATTTCACAACAACACAATTTCCCGATTTTGGATCAACAAAGTACATCTTATTATCTTATACTAACATAACTACGCCTATTTGAACTGCCCCAGCCCCAGTAAAAACCAGAGGCTTATGTGAAATAGTTATTTTTTTTGAAATAATGGTTTTAGTGTGCAATTATAGGTTTTAATTTTGTATTAGTGTTAATTCAAAATAAATCAAACTCCCCAAAAACGTACACAGCTTCTGTGTGCTTTTATTAACATTGGAATTTACTGTGTGAGCGGCCGCGGGGGGGGGGGGGGGGTGAGCTTTAGAGAGCTCTCTCCTGAAAGACTGAGCGGCTCTGATAACCTCAGCTCAGTGAGGTAAAGGCACACCTTATATGATCATTATAGCCAGCTAAAATCTTGCCTAGGGCAGCAAATTGGTCAGGGCCGGCCCTGCCTGGAACACATCCTTCTCGGGGTGTAGATGACCCCGAGCCATAAGCGACAACAAATGTGATTCAGTGTCCTCAGCTGTTTAGTCTATCTATTGAAGAATGTTGATTATTACACTCTGAACTAGTTAAAACCTGGAGCTACAGAGGGGTGCGTCAGAATTGATTGTGGCATCTCATCCGTGTGGTCAGACCACGGTCTGACCACACGGATGAGATGCCACAATCAATTCTGACATGTCTTGTGAATTATCCGACCGAAGCTCCAAATAAACCGTCAGTGTTTGCCATCAAAGCTCCAGCTCTCCTCGTGTCTCTCTGAGTCCTGACTCCAATTGCTTCAGAAGTTTCCCCCACAGTTTCCTCATCTCCAAGTAACTTCACAAGTGAGACTGGCTGCTATCCTGAAATAAGGTCCTTGGTTACTCAAAACTAAAAGAGATTTTAGCGTTTTGTTCTACTTCCACATAAAACAGGTCTGGTGGATTTCAAAAGTGGTTATATTCTGCTATAATCCAAAATCACATCCCATTGGTTTTTCGTGGAGGGAACCAGGGCGATGCTGCCTAAAAAAAAAACTATCTCTCTATTGTAATGTTAAATAAAAGTGTAATGTTTTTATCTGACATTAGCAGGAGTGGTCTTAGTTTTAATCGGGGTGGCCCACCTCCACTACAGTACGGCAGATATGTTCATAGGGTAAGTGTATTAAGTGTATTGGCCAGGGAGAACACTTCACATTAGATTGATCAGGGTATATGCAGGAATCCTGAAGTCAGATGTAAAACCTTTAAAGACCTTTTTTAAGACGCTTTCCATACATTTTAAGACCTCATCGCCCCTTGGAGTTTTAACCGGTTACCTTGGCGACACACTTTACCTCACATTGACTATATACAGTATTGATTGTCCTTCTTCCTTATCTTCCAACCATTTGGACGCAGACTTGCATTTCCCCATAACGATGTTGCTTAGCAACCGGCGTAAACGGAACTTCGCGCGCTATCAAGCAGTGAGCGTGCGATGTCCTGTTCAGATGACGTCACATCCAACGGGATGCCATAAATAAACTACACAGAATCACACTACACACCTACGCCATGATTACATTCAGGCAGACTGTAGAATACAACCTCTTTGGACCATTTATATACTTACTGATACAAGCTACAAAATGTAACACCTTGGAAAATGCCGTTTAATAGCCTTAATTTTCGCTAAATTGATTAATCAACTTTTAATACTTTTTAAGACCCCGCGGACCCCCTGGAGATGTAAGAAAACTGCAACCCTTTCAAATTCAAAGACTCTAAATTAAAAAACATTGGGATCCAGTGCAGTAAATAGTTCAGGGTTTCCGCCAAGCAGTTGTTAGCCTGGTGGCAAATAGGTGTTAACGAGCAATCGGAATGATAATCAAGAAATATCATGTACTCTGGGGGGAAGTTGGGTTTGGTGACAGTATCTCAAAAGATATATATATATAAACGCAAGGAGTTACAGAAGATAAATTCAAACAAATATTAAATAAAATAAGGTTATATTGAGATCACGAGTTAAAGTAAAAATGTGTGCAGTGTACTACAATATATATATAACATGTCATACACTATAAGCAGTGGTGTATGACTAGTAATAAGATTCCCTATAGAGCGCCACAGTGACGCGTCCTAAAACCCGGAAGTAAGTCAGCATTTCACCACTTCCGGTTCCTTCGACAAAAAAGCAATGGGATTTCTCCTTTTTTGGAAAATATCTGGAACTAAGGTCTGTGGTTGAGACACATCGAAGAGACGGATCACGTTTTGTTCTACGACATTAAATCCATCAGCAGATGGTGATTTCTGAAGAGTTGACGTGTCTGAAAAACGATGGTTGTTACCAAGTGGCTGAATAGGACTACAGAAGTTGTCGAGGCCGTTGTACGTCATTACGCCGAACACGTAAACACTCCTCTAACAGGGTTCATACACTTTTTCACCAATGATTTTCAATGACTTTTCCAGGACTTCTCCATTACCTAATTTTCCATGACCAAAAAAATGACTCTTTCTCAGCGTACCACTGAAGATGGTTTATTTTAACATGGAACAGGAAGATAAGGTCTGCATCTGAAACATGTTGTGCCTCTAAAACAAATCAAATAGGCTTACTAGCTTCTACACGCTGAAGCCACTAAAATCTCACCAGCAAAACACCTCGTCAGTTAAATGCCATTTTACGTTTCATTACTATACGATACAGTATTATTATATCATTATAGTATTACTATTTCGGCGATTAGATAAAATATTAATTATATTTGATGCAAGTTTAGTCACATTTCCATGACTTTTCCAAAACTTTGGGAAAAATATTGTTTTCCAGAACTTTCCCAGGGCCTGGAATTAGCATTTTGAATTTCCATGACTTTTCCAGGTTTTTAATGACCGTAAGAACCCTGCTCTAAGTTAGTTTCTGTTCTGCTTGAAAGCAAGTCCCTGCCTCCTGCAGACTGTTCAAACAAACGCTTCAACTCGTTCCATTTTGAATCTGTATGTTTGAATATGGATCTGAAGCCGGCGTGACGTTGAAGCAGCGACCCTGCTGTAGTTCGTTTATAGCATAACGTTAGCATTTAGCTTCTGGCGACTAGATTTATGATTAGAAAATGATAAAAGTAGGGTAGACATGTGGAGATTATCCGGCTGAACAAAACGTGACCCGTCTCTTAAATGTGTTTCAACCACAGACCTTAGTTCCAGCTGTTTTCCAAAACCCTATGGAGAGATAGCATTGCGTTTTTGTCGAAGGAACCGGAAGGAGTTTACTTCCGGGTTTTAGGACGCGTCACTCCGGCACTCTATAGAGTTCATATTTAAACTGTATTTATCGTGTACGTCAGGCTTTCTAAACCCTGGCGGAAACCCTGGCACTTCAGCAAATCAAAAACATGTTCTATTGCAAGTGGTTCACAAGTGAGACTGTGAGTCAGGCGGGAGCGGGAGTTTGCATGCTCAGAAAACATGGGTTTAAAAAGTTAAGAGTAAAGAAACCAACAACATCCGAGCTGTAGGAGACGGGCGCCTCGTCAGAAACGCTTTACCTTGTTCTCTTTGTTTCCGTCTTTACACAGAGACTCATCCTCTGTCTGATGCAGCGAGAGAGAGGGAGGAAGGGCGAGAGAGGGTTAACGGGGAGGAGAATTAGGAAGGAGAGAGGAGGGAGGAGGTGAGGAGATGAGGAGATGGAGAGGCAGAGGGAGAGAGAGAGTTAACGGGGAGAAGGAATCAGGAAGGGGAAAGGAGGGAGGAGGTGAAGAGATGGAGAGGCAGAGGGAGAGAGAGAGAGTTAACGGGGAGAAGGAATCAGGAGAAGAGATGGAGAGGTGAGGAGATGAAGAATGAGGGTGTGAGGAGATGAGAAGGAGAGTGAGGGTGTGAGGAGATGAGAAGGAGAATGAGGGTGTGAGGAGATGAGAAGGAGAGTGAGGGTGTGAGGAGATGAGAAGGAGAGTGAGGGTGTGAGAAGGAGATGAGAAGGAGAGTGAGGGTGTGAGGAGGTGAGAAGGAGAGTGA